CATTCATTCCACTTGCAACTCGAAGCTGATACGCTTCGCAAGTTCAGGTATCGGTTATTCGGCTCATGCCGCGTCCTTTAGGCCGTTGGTTCTAATATTGCAGCTAAACCGGTTATTAGCTTCTGCGTGAAGCTGGCTAATTTTTTTGGACAAGCTTGCATACACATATTTACCACGACTTTTTGTTGCGTTCTTAGCGCAGACCGTCCGAGTACGCTTCCGTCGCCCTTATGAGCACCCTCCACCGATCATGGTGCATAGGCACGACGAGAATGGTTTTCGACATCGTATCTCACCGAGTTACCGACAATACCCCTTCACGCATCGAGTGCTTAGTGCGTTGGAAGGGCTATCCTAATGAGGAGGCTACTTGGGAGCCCCTCGAACACTTGCAGCACGTCAGGATATTGGTGTGTGCATATAACCGTTCTCGTCGTGATGAGATGTCTGCTCCTGCTCAGCCAACTAACCCTCGGCCTTCTCCTCTGGCTGGATATCGTTGAGGACGAACCCTCTCTCTCATTGGTCACTATTTGTCAGCACATGGACGCCTCCTCGTGTGCACAACACACTCATCAATGCCCTGTGCATTACGATAACTAACCATTATATCACCTTCCGATCTTCCGACTGACTCGCACCTTCATTTACTCTAGTTTCAATTCTACTTCAAGATGTCAAAATTTTGCAGCTCTACTTCGACATCGACCTCAACTCTTACTTTATCAACGTCATCGACTACTTTCACAACCCCAACTACTTCATCAGCTTCAAGTACTTTTGACATGACTACTTCGCGCCATCACCCTACCGTATACATCCTATTGTGTGTGTTGCAAGATGGTTCTCTCGTAGTTGGTTCTCCCAGAGTTATCTTGGGCTCCTAGATTTGCCTCTCTTCCAATCGAGGAGTTTCCCTCACCCACTACACCCATCCCCTTAGTGACGGCCACTGCATGCCGTTAGTTAGGCCTATCACCATATTGCAGGTTCCCCTTTCATGGTAGACCCTACATGGTGTCACCCTTATGTCAAGAATTAGCCGTCTTGATGGTTTATTTATTAGGGTCATTGGTTTTGTTTCGCTCTCTATCCCCCACCCTAAGCCTTATGACCTCTCTCACCTTCGCGTGTGACTGCCCCAGTGAGTTCCTGTTCTTAGGCTGCATTCACCCCCTCGAAACCATCCCACCCCCAATAGTTCAGCGACACGACACCATCTTGAGACATATTGCAATTTTTTCCTTTCACCATTGAGGCAGTTGCCTCCAGGACCTTAGGATTGTATCATGCTACATTTAATTTCCTGCTGCTAGTAGGATGTATATATCATACCTTCGCTCTTCGCTATGACATTATGAAGCTCGAGCTGCAACGCATGCACTGCATGGAGTTTGCTCCACATCCTAGATTTGCCAGCTTTCTTGTTTACAGAGTTCCGCTGCTTTTGCGGAAGCGTGTTCCAGTGCAGGTCTGAGGATCATGTAGCAGGCCTCTATTTGCCCTGGCCTACAGCAAGGGTTATTCGGCTATTTGTCTATTCGGCTTATACGACCAGGCTGTTGGCCTGACCCCAAAGGCCATGTCAGTACTTGGTACAATCTTATCCAGTGCCACCGTTGGTACCAGTCCAGTCGGTCCACTGGGGGTATACCCCAGCTGCAGTTTGTACCTTGGGTCATTCTTCATTTTGCGCATCTTGGAGTACGTGTGTGTTGAGCCCACGTTGGAACTGCGCTGGCCCTTCCACCTCCATCGCTATCTCCTCCTTCCTCACCCATTCGTCTTGAGACTGGCGGGACTGCCATCTGGACGGGTCCGTCACAAAACAGCAAGGAATGCAGGCGGGAAGCAAAGCAGCAATACAGCTAGCCTCAGCTAGGCACAAAGTGTGTTAGCCCACCAAACACAGGTCATTCCAAACCGAGTGTTCCACATAGACTAGTCGAGAGAAAGATCATCATGGAGTACCAATAACCAAGTGCCAAAAGGGAACGTTAAGAGGAATTAACTCTCCGAGGCAGTAAGGCACAATAACTAAAGATCGTGAACAAAGGGGCCAAAAGGCCACTAGGCATTGAACGACAGGCGGCAGAAAGGCACATAGACTGAAGGGCATGGGGAGGCGGGTGGGCAAACAAAGAACACAAGGTAACAAAGGAAAAGGCAGATAAACTGTGAAGGAAATGGCATGAGCCAGTGAAGGACAAAAGCTGGGGGGCATGGAGGTGGGTGGGGCAGCAAGGTATTGGACAACACTCAGTGGTAATGCACATAGGGTGGAGGACACAGGGGAGGTGGGTGGGCAGACAAACACCACAAAGCAACAAAGGGAGCAGAAAAGATAATTAGATATTGATGATGGCAGACTGTTTCGTCGGACTTGCACGACTCGTCAGGGGGCTGAACCCTCGACGATCTGCTTGGAGACTTCTCCAAGCCTGGGTAAGCTATTCCCGGGTTCGACATACCCGACCCTAGGTTTTGAGGAGGCTGAACCCTCAATTAGAAATTGAGTGGGGCAACTTTCCTGGGTTTGACATACCCGACCCTAGGTTTTGACATATCTCCACTCCTGGAAAAGCTATTATTTTGTACTCGTCCAGAACGGGGAAACAGAACCTAGCCGTGCGGCTCCCCATAGGCACATGGACCTGTTCCTCTGGACCTTTAGAATTTGCGCACACACAGCTGATTGCCAATGATGAGCAACCGGACTGCCACCCCCCAGAATAGATGGGGCGGTGTTTTTGCACACCTGGACCTGTGAAATTTTCACACTGTTTTCTGCATACTCCAATCTGTCCGGGGAAGCAGGTGTGCAGAGGAGAAGAAGGGATTCCGGATCACCTAGCCCCCTCCACCCCCTCCAGTGGTTCACCAACAGTACCTGCCCATCCCATCTCCACCAGGAACCAAAAGGAATGGCTCACCACCAAAGATGGAATTCAAAGGTTCACCCATTGTGAGCGTCCATGCTGCGGCTATGGAGAACCAAAGGCCCTGCACAGTCCATGACTCTATAGAGGTGGCACAAAGTTAGGCGTCAACCTAGCTTGTGGATGAGGCGAGGAAAGAGTTTGGTGTGCACCCAAACTCCTCATGGGTGGCCTGGGTAAGAAAGGAAGTTTACACTCTACAGCGGTGTACCGAGTTGCAAAGATGTCCACGACCTCGACAAAGCTCGAGGCATTTGAGATGGCCTTGCCAGGGGTTAGACGGTCAAAACTGACCAAGTGTGCCTCCCTTTCACCCCATGAGTGAGGTGCTGGAAAACAAACAACAACAGAGTTGAGCATATGAACCCAGCACCCCCATCAGAAAGTTGCCCTTTGATCCAGCGGAACGGGAATGGAGAGTTGTGAAACCGATTCCCTATAGGGGAGTGCACAATCAAGGAGGGATACACAGCCACATGCACTTCCCCTCCTAGTACTGAAGTGGTTTAAACCAGATGGGTAAGGGACTCTCCACTCAGCCAGCAAGACTTAGGTAGCCTGACGTAGTCCAGACACTCGAAGATCATGCCGACAGCCCACGGTGCACTTCAATGGCAGATCCTCCACAGATGCCTTGAGGTATTATCATCGGACTAACCAGCCCAGGTAAATTCAATCTTGTGTCTGATCTGAAACCGGGTGGCCTTTTCGGCCCAGGGTGTCCTTCATGCCTTCAGGGAACCCCCAATGTGGGACACCGGCCAGGGGACAGCTGGTAGCAGAGGGACCGAGCATCATCTGCGTGGCCAGTCGCTGTGCCTCCCTAATTAGCCCTCCTCCCAAGAACATCAGCAGAGACTGCATTTTAATGCCAATTTGGGGGACCAAAGGGCTACTCTAGGTGGGGGGCACCAAGCATGCCCAGGAAGGTCCATGAGGCCAATGGGGACTGAACCCAAGACCTCCTAAATGCCAGTCGTGTGCCTTACCAACTGAGCTACTAACTATTTCATTAGGGGTAACTTCAGTAGAGTCACAAAAATTAGTTATAATTGCACTATGGGCCAAGATACAGATTGCAATTGCACTTCCGGCACCCTACCTGGCCAGAACGCTGGGTTGTATACATTGCCCGAACTGCAATTCGAAACTGTATGTTGGCCCATAGTGCAATTATAACTCGTTTTTGTGACTCCCACGTAGCTTCCCCATTTTATTATTATTACTATTACCTTCTACTATTGAGAAACTATTGGTAAGGCTTGCTCAGAACAAAACAATCAAGAAACAGAAATAGCCACACCTGCCAGATTACCATCCTAATTACTAAGACCTGTCATATAACCCCACCCTGGTCAATATACCTTGGCCACCGTTAACAAACCATGATTGCGGATTACCTCTGCCCAGCTCCTGTACCCGTCAGAATCTGTTCCGTTCCGTTACCGTGCCTGCCAGGTTGCCATCCTAGTTACCATACCCTGTGATGCCCTTCAGGAAACAGATTTTTCTGCAGCCTGATCACCCAGCAATACGCACCACAACATTACGAGCAAAATGCTACGCCAAACACGTCTATCTGTTTCTACGAATCAACAAGAATTCCTACCTGACACCGACGACAACAGCACCAAATGTTACTGCCCCACATTTCTCTCTCTCTCTCTCTCTCTCTCTCTCTCT